ATTCCTGCTAAGTAGTCTCTCGGGTTGTGTTTTTTTTCCCCTCTTGTTCCACTGAGATGTCTAATCAATTTTTGAACCCATTTGGATTTTTGGCAGTCACAATTTTGTTGGGGGAAATGTTCCACAGGTGATACAGTACTACTTGTGGAAAAAAGTCTGCTTTTATAAGCTTTGAACCTGGCAGCTGGTTGTTGTATTAAGTGCTTTTTTGTTGGTGTGTGGCTTTTACTTTTCTCTGGCATGATGTTCTTGTGAATTCACCTGCTTTTGCATTAATGAAGGTCGGTAAAGGGCGTCTGAAGAGAAGAGCAATGTGAGAACTGGCCATTCTTTGTTTACAGTGTGCTTGAATAATTTTGCTTTTGCAGTTTGTTTACTACTGGCATACATGGTTTCTCTTTCATGTTTCTTGTGTATCAGTTTGAAAGTCTATCAAAATACCATAGGCATGTAATTGCCATTTCCTCATTAACTTCAATTATATTGATCAAACATTTCTAATTAACTGACTTCATCTGAACAAGAACTTTAGTTCTGACCTATTTAAATTAAGATTTGGGAGGAGAGTAAGTAAGCTAGCTATCAAAGTTGTGTATCTAACACTTCCATACCATTAGTTTTTTGCTCTGTTGGATGTGCTGGGGGCTGTGGTGGTTCTTTCTTTAATACTTAGTGGAGGGCAGGGAGACAGTTTGGGGGAGAAGAAATGGGGATGCAGGATGGTCAGTGGATCTGACAGGCTGTGGACAAAGCTGTTGGTGAGGAGTAAAATGTCCTGGAAAATGTTGGATGACAACAGACAGTGGCAGAATAGAGCAATTACATTTATGTATGGGAAAAGTTACTATGTTTTCACTTATTTCTCTCCTCTTTCTCTTCCTTCTCATTGCCTTTCCCAGGGATTTGGAAACCTGCCAATCTGCATGGCTAAAACTCATTTGTCATTGTCTCATGACCCTGAACAAAAAGGAGCACCTACAGGTTTTATTCTGCCAATCCGAGACATTCGGGCCAGTGTTGGTGCTGGGTTCCTGTATCCACTCGTAGGAACGGTATGTGATTGCATGAAGCCCTCAACCATGGGGTGAGGAAAAAACTTCATGTGCATTCCAATAAGCAGCTACTTCTAAGTATCTTAGATTAGGAGAATCCTTGTCATTTGCAGTTGGTGTTTTAACAGTCCAGTGTATTAGATGCCCTGAATAGGGTTTTTTCCAGGGGGAAGAGGGAAGCTAAAATAGACCTCTGCCTGTTTGAATACATAGCAAGTCCCGAGTATACTCCTCAGGTCACATATCTCTGCCTTCCTGGAGTTTGAGGAAGGGGTAAGCTCTGTAGCTAATGAATTCTGGGAACTACATTCTGGTGGAGGGAATGGAAGAAATCCTTGGCCCAACTACTTGCTGTTGTGACTTTGCATTCCTGGTGAAAGCACTTTGCAGTATTGCAGGTGAAGTCTGTGTACACTTGCAGATCAGGGTAGAACAAGACAGTAACTCCAAAGCTTACAAAGCAAACAGCTTCTGATGAGACACCTCTAAAGTGGAGCTGACCTGTACTATTAATCATTTATCAGTCTCCCCTCCCATTTGGTTCTCATGGTTTTGCCGACCATCTGTTTGCTATTCAGCCTGCATCAGTTCCAGCAATTCATTTCACCGTGCCCTTGAGTTTTTCGTTTCTGTTCTTTGATGTGATTGGCACAATGTCAGCTGAGAGGAGAGAGAGTAGCCACAATGGAATCAGGATCCTGGCACAGCTTTGATATAAATTGACAGGCAGAAAGAGGAGTTATCCGCAAAATGAACTAACGTTCAGATTTGCATCCAAAGAAGGAATTTTGGGATGAAAGGATCCACCGGAAATGTTATCTGGGGAATCTCCTCTGGGTAAATGTTAAGTATTGTTAGATTATTGTAGGGGATGGAGCAGTTGGAGCAAGCAGCTTTGTCTTTTTCTTATTTTGGGGCCTCAACCTTTTTTGAAGTCTTCATGGCAACGTGTTTGTCTTGCTAAGTTTTCCAAAGCATTAAGGATGCATGGCTCAGATTATGAACTTTGCTGAACTGGATCCCTTTTTCCTTCAAATGCTAGAGCCAAATATTGGATATCTTTTAATTCTAAAAAAAAAAAAATATA